TAAATTCAATCCATGTAGAGACGATAATTAAACTATACTATCTTTGACTAGCGAGCAACAATTTTGTTTTTGTATTTTACACTTGTCGCCTATAATTTTGACGGCCATGACTATTACTCGTTTTTTTGGCATTTTAGGGCCATAAAACTAGAATTCCTCCCGATTCCCAGATTTTCGTGTGCTATAGTCCACGCCTCCTGCACGGCCCCGGGAGCCCGGAATCGGATCGCCTAAAGTTTTTCCGGCGCACCAAAACTGACCTAAGGAACAAAAATTACCACATCGCCATGACCGTTACTCATTTATGGCATTTTAGGGCTATAAAACTGAAATTTGGCCCGATTCTCAAATTTTTGTATGCTATAGCACATGACTCATGTACAGGCTCGAGTGCCTTGACCCGGATCGCCTAAAATTTTGGCGGCCCATAAAAAATGACCTAAGAAACAATAGTCACTGCCTCGCCACGACTGTTACTCATTTTTTGGCGTTTTAGGGCCATAAACTAGAATTACGTCTGATTCCCAGATTTTTGTGTGTTATAGTCCACGCCTCATGTATGGGCCCGAGCGGCCGGACCTGGATCGCGTAAAATTTTACCAGCCCATAAAAATAACCTTAGGAAAAATAGTCGCCGCCTCACCATGACTATTACTCGTTTTTTGGCATTTTAAAGCTATAAAACTAGAATTCCGCCCGCCTCCTGCATGAGCCAGGCGAGTTAACTCGGATCGCCTAAATTTTACCGGCCCATCAAAAACGACCTAAGGAACTATAGTCACCACCTCGCTATGAACGTTACTCATCTTTTGGCATTTAAGGCCATAAAACTAGAATTTCGCCCAATTCCTAGATTTTCGTATGCTATAGCCCGCGCCTGCTGTATGGGCCTAAGCACCTGGACCCGAATCGCCTAAAATTTTGTTGGCCCATCAAAAACGACCTAAGGAACAATAGCCACCATATCGTCATGACTGTTATTCGTTTATTGGTATTTTAGGGCCATAAAACTTGAATTCCGTCCGATTTTCAAATTCTCCTGTGATATAGCTCAAGTCTCCTGCACGGGACCGGGCGTTCGAACTCGGATCGCCAAAAATTTTTGTCGGCCCATATAAATGACCTAAGGAACAATAGTCACCGCCTCGACGTGATCGTTACTCATTTTTTTGTGTTTTAAGGACATTAAACTAGAATTTCGCCCAATTTCCAAATTTTCGTGTGCTATAGCCCACGCCTCCTAAATGGGCCCGGGCACCCCGATCCGGATCGCCTAAATTTTTTCGGCCCATCAAAAACGACCTAAGAAATAATAGTCACCGCCTCGCCATGACCTATAGTTGTTTTTTGGTGTTTTATGGCCATAAAACTAGAATTCCGCCTGATTCTCAAATTTTCATGTGCTATAGCCCACGCCTCATATATGGGCCCAGGCAACCGGACCTGGATCGCCTAAATTTTTTTCGGTCCATCAAAAAACGACCTAAGGAACAATAGTCACTACCTCACCATGACCGTTACTCGTTTTTGGCGTTTTAGAGCCTTGAAATTAGAATTCCGCACGATTCCCAGATTTTCGTATGCTATAGTCCACACCTCTTGTACGGCCCCGGGCACCCGAACTCGTATCGTTAAATATTTTGTCGTCTCATATAAACGACCTAAGGAACAACAGTCACCGCCTCGCCATGATCGTTACTTGTTTTTTGGTGTTTTAAGGGCATAAAACTGGAATTCCGCCTGATCTTAAAATTTTCGTATACTATAGCCCACGCCTCCTACATGGGCTCGCGCACCGGACCCTAATCGCCTAGAAATTTTTCGGTACATAAAAACGACCTAAGGAACAATAGTCACCACCTCGCCATGACCTATAATTGTTTTTGGCATTTTAGGGCCATAAAACTAGAATTCCGCCCGAGTCCCACATTTTCATATGCTATAGCCCAGCCTCCTATATGGGCCCAGGAGACCGGACCCGGATCACCTAAAATTTTGCCAGCCCATCAAAAACGACCTAAGGAACACTAGTCACCTCCTCACCACGATCGTTACTTGTTTTTTCGCGTTTTAGGGCCATAAAACTAGAATTTCGTCCGATTTTCTGATTTTCGTGTGCTATAGCCCACGCCTCCTGCATGTGCCCAGGCGTCGGGACCCGGATCGCCTAAAATTTTGGCCGCCCATCAAAATAACCTACAGAACAATAGTCACCGCCTCGCCATGACCGTAACCCATTTTTTGGCGAATTAAGGCCATAAAACTAAAATTTTGCCCGATTTTCAGATTTTCGTGTGGTATAGCTCATACCTCATGCATGGGCCCGAGCGACAAAATCCGGATCGCCTATAATTTTGACGGCCCATCAAAAACAACATAAGGAATAACAGTCACCGCCTCGCCATGATTATTACTTTTTTTTGGCATTTTAGGGCCGTAAATTAGTCCGTTCGATTTTCAAATTTTGGCCAAAAATTTTGTTGGCCCATCAAAAACGACCAAAAGTACAAAAGTCATTGTCTTGCCATGATCGTTACTTGTTTTTTGGCATTTTAGGGTTATAAAACTGGTATTTCGCCCGATTCTCAGATTTTCGTGTGCTATAGCATACGCCTCCAGCAGGGCCCGGGCGCCTGGACCTGGATCGCCTAAAATTTTGGCGACCCATCAAAAATGACCTTAGAAACAATAGTCACCGCCTTGTCACCACTGTAACTCAATTTTTGGAAAATTAAGTCCATAAAACTAGAATTTCGCCTGATTCCCATATTTTTGTATGCTATAGCCCACGTCTCCTGCATGGGCCCAGACGCCAGGACCCGGATCGCCTAAAATTTTGGCGGCCCATCAAAATGAGCCAAGGAACAATTGTCACCGCCTCGCCATGACCGTAACTCGTTTTTTGGCAAATTAAGGCCATAAAATTAGAATTTTGCCTGATTCTCAGATTTTCGTGTGGTATAGCCCATGCCTCATGCATGTGCCCAGGCGACAAAACCCGAATTTGGCGTTTTAGGGCCATAGAAACTGGAATTCCACCTGAATCCCAGATTTTGTAAGTTATAGCCCACGCCTCCTGTGTGGGCCCGTGTAACAGGACCTGAATCGCCTAAAATTTTGTCGGCCCATCAAAAACGGCCTAAGGAACAATAATCACCGCCTCGTCATAACTGGTACTCGTTTTTTGGCGTTTTAGGGCCATAAAACTAGAATTCTGCTGATTTCCAAATTTTCGTGTGCTATATAGGCCAGTTCTCCTGCATGGGCTCGGTCGACCGGATCCGAATCCCCTAAAAATTTTCTGGCCCATTAAAAACGACCTAAGGAACAATAGTCACCTCCTCGCCATGACCATTACTCATTTTTTTTGTGTTTTAGGTCCATAAAAATTGAAATTTCGCTCGATTCCTAGATTTTTGTGTGCTACAGCCCATGCCTTCCTGCATGGCCCCAGGCGCCCGAACCCGAATCACCTACAATTTTGTCGGCCCATCAAAAATGACCTAAAGAACAATAGTCACTGCCTCGCGCTGATCGTTACTTGTTTTTTTTTATGTTTTGGGCTATAAAACTGGAATTCCGCGCTATTCCTAGATTTTCGTGTGTCATAGCACACGCCTCCTGCACGGGCGCCTAGACTCGGATCGCCTAAAATTTTACTGGCCCATCAAAAATGATGTAATGAACAATAGTCATTGCTTCACCATGACCGTTCCTCGATTTTTTGTGTTTTAGAGCCATAAATTAGGAATTCAAGACGATTCCCGAATTTTCGTGTGCTACAGTCCTCCCCATGAACTGCTACAGTCCTCCCCATATTCATGAATTTGAGCGACACCCCGAATCTCCTAAAGTTGTTCGGCCCATACAAAACAATCTAATGAACAATAGTCATCGCTTCGCCATGATTGTTCCTAGTTTATTGGCTTTTTAAGGCCATAAAACAGGAATTGAAGACGATTCCCAAATTTTCGTATGCTACAGTCAACGCCATCGCACTAATCCGAGCGACTGGCACCGAATCTCCTAAAAGTTTTGCAGGCCCATAAAAAACGATCTAACGAACAATATTTATCGCTTCGCCATGACCGTTCCTTGTTTATTGGCATTTTAGGGCCATAAAACAGGAATTCAAGACGATTCCCAAATTTTCGTGTGCTATAGTCAACACCATCTGCTATGAATTTGGCAACCGGCTCCGGATCTCCTAAAATTTTGTGGGCCATAATAAACGACCTAATGGAGTCATCGTTCCACCATGATCATTCCTCGTTTTTTTTGGAGTTTTAGGGCCATAAAATGTGAATTGAGGACGATTCCCAAATTTTCGTGTGCTATAATAATAGTCCACACTATCTGCATGAATTTGGGCAATCGGCCCTGATATTTACAATTTTCAGGCCAATATGGAGTCATCAAAAAAATACTGCAAAATCAATAAGTACTAACACACACGAAAAAATGGATATAATCATAAATCCATGTTGCATAACCTCGAAATGCCATAAAATGAACTCAAAATGCAAAAAAGCAACAGTAATCATAGCGAAGCGATGAGTATTGACGTCACTAGGCCGTTTCCTATGGACCTACGAAATTTCGGGCCAATCACACAAAATCAACATCTTCTCTTTACTGCACGGACTCGGGACTAATTTTGGTTGTTTAGTTCTGTTGTCTGATATTTCTTTCTGAAAACAGAACAAAAATATTTCTAAGAAAAAAAATGAAAAAAAAAAGTTTATATTAAATTACTCTAAAATTTACAAGAAACTTACATTATTGATACGACCAGTCACTGAAGGCAACAAGTCAAATGACAACAATACATTCGATATTTCTAAAATAGACAGGAAATGTATAATTAACAATAAATAGCTCAGTGGAAATCACTGTAACATATGTGTGTATGTAAATCCAAGCTGAACTTCACTGTTGCATTCAATCTATTTTTAACAAAATCCAAGCAGAACTTAGGTTACAACCATACTAAAAGCAAGTTAAAAGATCAAAACAATATTCCATTTAAATGTTAATTGCATAAAACTTTATTAGCCAATGGAGGCTATGCTCCAAAACATCAGTTTCTCAGTCAAACAACTATATGTACAGTAAGAATAAAAGAATCTCAAAAGAAAATGGTTGAAAAATTGGGGGAGACGAAATGAAGAAGACGTTCGTCTTGGATCGGATTGGATTAATAGCTTTGCACTGATCTATGAACGAGCTTTGTTAATGGTCTCTCACGTACAACAACAACAACAACAACAAATTCAGTGTCATCCCACAAGTGGGGTCTGGGAGGGTAGTGTGTACGTAGACATTACCCTCTACTTCCAAGAAGGCAGAGAGGCTGTTTCCGGATGACCCTCGGCTTAGGATAGGTAAATGGAAGGGCTAATGATCTCTCGAGTATTAATAAAAAATATTATTATTTATAATATTAACTATTGATTAACTTAAAATGCTTTCTTTTGTTTTCTTGTTTCCATTAAACTGGACTTTCTCCCAACTTGTCTCTGTTCTCTAATTTTTCCTTGCCAAGAATCATCAGCTTTTATAGTAATGTCCTCTGTCATCAAGTTTTGTTGATAGTATCTAAATCCCACATATAACATGAACACTGCACAAATAAATTGTAAATTTATCAGTATATGTAATAAGGTTTTTCATCAAAAAGGGCAGCCCGGTGCACTAAGCTCCCGCTATGTGCGGGGTCCGGGGAAGGGCGGACCACAAGGGTCTATTGTACGCAGTCTTACCTTGCATTTCTGCAAGAGGATGTTTCCTCAGCTCGAACACGTGACCTCCTGGTCACATGGCAACAACTTTACCAGTTACGCCAAGGCTCCCCTACGTAACCCTTCGCAATAAGGTTTTTCATTGTTTACCAAAACATCATTCACTTAAATATATTTTAATTTGATTTTTTTTTTTCGTTTGTGTGTAAAAATTAGAATGTATATTTGTCACCTGCCCATATTCTGGCAATGATTGAAGAGAAATTCCAAACTAGTGTGAAGATTGCAAATCCAACTGCTTTTTTGTGAGTACATGATTCCCAAGCATCTCTAATGTATCTTATCAAAAATGTACCTTCATATAAAATTTTGCATCACCAATGAGTTTCAAAACACGGAATTTAAGTTATATGCACTGACGATATAAAAACATAGTACATGGAATGTTTAAGAAGTTAAAACAAATGAAGGAAAAGTAAATAAAAATAAAAAAAGAAAGAAAGAGAGATTAACTCGTATTTACCGTAAGAGGTTAACTGTGGGGAATAAGAAGAGCAAATTTTTGGTATGACCATAACTCCAAAAAAACCTGCAAAACAGGAAATAAACAATAGTGAGCAAGCTATGGTTAGGGAAATTTAAAAAAAAGAAAAATAAAATTGTGGTAGAGTCAATTCCAGAAAAGAATCCTTCTTTTTTTCAAATTTGGCATTTTGTTGGTAGATTGATATTGGGCTATAATTTAAAAAGCTTCAATCAGATTACTAAATAAATTTGATTGGTAATTAATTTGATCTCAGATTACTTAAATAAAACAAAATGGGAAAAATCAGGAGGCGAGTTTGTATAGTAGGGGTACACCAGACCGCCGACGAATAATATGTACCCACACCCCAGGCAGAGTTAGTGAGCCGTGTAATAGGTGACCATTTCGCGCTGTTCGGGGGCCACTTGAGTCAGCCGCCTGCGCCCGACAGCGTCTTGACCCCCATCCAGTTTTTGGGCCAATTCCCCCTTCGTACTACCAAAAATATGAGATTCTTGCCTATTCTAGGAAGAAATACTAAAAGGAAGCTAAAACTTCAAAGTTGCATTTCCTTTCTGGTAACTTCCTTTTTCTCTACTGAAATAAGAAGGATAAAGGATCAAACTTGCCTTTGTACAGTTCAAAATTGAGCAACTTTGTCGTGCGTCAAACTTTTGGTTTAATATTAATCTCGCCGGTAGGAAAATGTCTCATTTTTGTCTTGACCTTTAATAGAGCTCCAACATGAGGATAACTTCAAAAGTTGAGGGGTAATTTTCACTTTTTTGTGAAGAATTGGCCACGTGGAGTCCATCCATTTCACGTTAAAATTCCGTTAATAGCAAGGACAAATATAAGACGATTTGCTATCATAAGAGCCCGGACCAAAAGTATAAATGATGGCAAAATTGAGCAATTCCGTATAGTACAATGACAAAAGAAGTCATTTTTAAGTAATGCAGATGCAACACTAATAGAAAAACTCACCCAATTTGGACAGTTTCCAAATGGTTATGGAGCTGCCATACCGAGCCAAAAGAAACAGCAGAACTGCCATCTGCCAGAGGCAAAAATTTGTCAAATTTCCACAACTTTCACAAGATTGGTAAATATTTGAATTCAGATCTAAAAAACTATAAGAAGATAATGAAATCCAATGGAAATGTTTGAACTTCTCTTTACCTTCATTGTAGTTGCAGGATCACCGGAAAAAAGGGCCCTGATTTTCAATAGAAACTCATTTATAAAAGGAAGTACCAACTTTAGTGCCCACACTGCTTCTTCTTCCCCTACTATATACTCGCTTGATTCACCAATATCATTGGCTCTCCTATTTACCCAACAAAAGATAAAATAAAATCAAATAAAATGTTAGACAAAGCTTTATTGGATAATCTCAAGATATGGTACGATGAGTTTAAGTTATGTGCATTGACAGTGTAACTTTTTATACCATCAGGTTGAGCTGATATATAACCGAATTAAATTGCACGGATAGTATAAAAATTCTTATACTGACAGTATATATTAAATTCCTTTTACAATTACCTGCGAATGAGGGATCTAAAGAGAAAGATTGCAGCAAGATACACCAGACCTACATAGGAAAGCACAGAAATGAAGCTGCAAAAAGCCATAGTTAAGAATACTTTTCATTAAAATGATTCAAGATTAAGGAATAAGAATCTGATTTTTTTTCAAGGTGCAAGGTAATAATTTACCTGATATTGAAGTCTTGAGTATATGATGATGAAATAATAGCAAAGGTTCCAATTCCAAAGACTAATGTAGATTTTGATATATTTCTCCACATCACTAAGTCCACTGCAGAAATGTTTTAAGAGAAAATCAGAGCCAATTGTTGCAAGGTAAATACTAACCGTAGTGACCTAGCGTTTATACCAAACTAAACAATTTAACTTTAGTAATTAAAAATTAAAGTAAGATACACACATTACTTAACTATATGCGTATGAACGACATGTGTCTAGCATCAATTGGTTTAGTATAAACACTGGGTGCAGATAGAGGCGGACCCAGGATTTTGAAAGTGGCGGGGCACCACTGTCGAATAAAAATTTGAGCAAATGCTGGAGTTGGAATTGAACCGAGGCAGCAAACTAAAAATCTAAGTTGTGCCCCCTAAATCGACCAATGCAGTATGACATTGAGTTCTAAAGATAGAACTTACCTAAGCTTTGTAATTTGCCATTTTTTCTAGGATTTACATCTGAAACTGGAACTGAAAAGGCAACAACATTGAAAACTGAATTCAGTATCAAACTTTGAAAATAAAGAGTAAATGAAACAAAGCATAAAAGAAAATGCAGTTTACCTGATTTGGTTCTTGTTGGACTTGGATGAATTTTGGCATGGATTGAAGTAGGAGGGAGCTGTTTCTTATTAATTGAAGAAATTGGTATTTGTCTTTTATTACTATACTGAAATTTCTTATCTTCAACCACAATCTTTTTAGGCTTCTGTACTTGTACTCTAATTTCCTTAACATCAACACTTTTCTTTTCAATTTCCTCATCAATTTCTTCCTCTAATACCTCATCCCATTCTTCTTCTTCCTCTTCATTTTCAAGATCCTTCGACCTTAGCTTCCGAACCTGTCTGTCCAAAATAGCGGACGAAACCTCCTCATCATAAGCCAAATTCACCACATTGCTTGTGATGAATTTCTCTTCACAATTTTCTTCAGATTTTGTCTTCTTAATCCCAATTAATACTTTCTTCTCATTTTCCTTAATTGACCCTTCAATATTCTTACTTGACTCCTCAAGATTGGATTTTTTCAAGATTTTAGAATCAAGATTCTTGCTTTCCTCATCAAGTTCCTTACTTGATACTAACTTTGCTTTCCCATTAAAAGACTCAGACTTTTTCTTGCTCTGAATTGGGATTTTGCTCAAATCTTGACACTTTTCATCCAATTTTTTACTCAAATCTTGACACTTTCCATCCATTTTTTTGCTCAAATCATGACACTTTTCATCCAATTTTTTGCTCAAATCAGTTTTTTTACTAGCAATCTGAATTGGGTTTCCTTCAAAATTTTCAGCTTTCCAAGTTTTTCTCTTCCCACTCATAACCCCAACAACACCAAGATTTGATTTTTTTGGCCCCATTTCTAACTTTTTATCCACTTGATTGTTGTTTCCACTAGTAAAGGTGCAATCTTTATCATCATTTTCATCTGGGGTTTCTTCAGAATTGTTACTAATAAGTACTTTGATTCCACCTTTTACTTCATCAAGTTTCATTCTGTTTTCCCAAACAGAACCTGAGGCCACAACACTACCATTATTTCTTGATGAAGTACTCTTCCTTCTATTGCCTACTTCCATATTTTCTCCTTTTTTTTCTACCTTTTTTTTTGGCTCAGTCTAATGATTCAAGATTGTAATGATTGAGTATTTTTGGTTGTGGGGTTTACTGTTTATTGAAGGAGTAATAATGGGATTAAAGGCTTTTAGCTGAAGAAATTGTGTTTGGTGGAAAAGGAAAGATGTGAAAACAATGGAATCCTAACATATATAGAGAGAGAAGGGACTTTATTTTGCTCCTTTTTCTCCTGTTTTAAAAATGATGCTCGGTTCGGTCCACAATAAGTGATCAATTACTTTTTTATTTTGATCTAAAATAAGTGTTTATTTATATAATTAAGAAAAAAATTAATTTGCTTTTACAAAATTATCCTTATGTACATATCCCTAAAAAGTTTTCTTACTCCTTACATTAAATATTTAATTAAGGGTAGTTTAGTCAAACTAGATATTTTTGTATAAAATTTAGGATTTTCTTAATAAGTGTGCCAAAAGCAAACTAATTACTTATTATGGACCGTAGGGAGTAATCTTTTAATTTTGTTTGGTTTATTTTATGTAATATGTCTGTTTCTTTTTTGATTTTTCTTCATTCTTTTAGCACCTCCTCTGAAGCTGTGAATGAGTGAGAAAAAGTAAAAAATGGTTAAATTGAGGTGATGAATGTATTTGATATTCCATAAATTCATGGAGTATTCACAAACTGATCAAAGACGTTAAATATTATCTTTCTCAAAATTGCCACAAAAATATATAGACGTCCTTCCTTTTTATGGAGATCAGGGGCAGACCCAGGATTTAAGGGTGGCGGGAGCACAAAATCAAGTGCTCAACCAATACCCTTATTGGACTTTTAATCTTAAGGATTTCAAGCAAATATATGAATATTTTTAAATATATGTATATTTATATTTCAGAATTTTTGACGAAATTATGGGGTCGAGTGACCCCTATTGTACATGCATGGGTCCGCATCTAAAGGAAATCAAGTACATTCCAAGAAAATCTGCATTATCCTATGTTTGAGAAATATGTTGCTTAAGCCCTTGAATCATAGCGAAAAATTTAGTCAAATAAAATTGTATTCACATAAATTCATCAATAAAATTATTATTTTTAAATAAAAAGGTGATAAACATTGAGAGAAATTATATTTTGTTTATCAAAATGAACTTGGTAGAAGAAAAAAATTCGGAAAGAATAGGTACACACTGTGGATTATGGTCTTCATGTCATTGGTAATGGTGTGCATGATTGAATTATCTTAGAATAAAAATGAGAGAAAACATATTATCCTTTTTTTGCTTTATTCTTCTTTTCTATTCTCCTTTCTTATCCTCCCCCCCCCACCCCTTCCCACCCCCCAACCCCCCATCCCCCAAAAAACCAATCTTAAAGTTGGCTGTTTTCATGAAACAAATCACATGGTAGTGCAAGAGGACGAAGTAGCTACAGAATCCTATTTTATTGTCATATATATGCCGACCTATCTGACCATATTGTCTATTTCTCCGTTAGACCAAAGTTATCGGATTCAGCCGAACCTATTCTTCACACTCTAGTTCTGCCCTTGCATATCTCAATAAGGACTCTATTAACTCAATTATAATATAGGGCAGCTTGTTGTGTGAAGTATTTTGTATTCACGTAAGTCCTGAACAAGGACCGCACCGTAAGGGGTGTGATGTAGACACCATATCCTAATACAAATATTATCCACTACTTTTATGGTTCGAACTCGTAACATATAGGTTACACAAAGATAACTTTACCATTACTTCAATACTCCCCTTCCTATTAACTCTATTATATGTGTACATAATTTGAGTCAGAACACAGAAATATTCAAAAATTTGAGTCAGAACCCAGAAATATTCAAAAATTCTAATAGGAAACACTTTCCTTCGTAATAAGCCATATATTATGCAGCTCAATTCATATTAATTTGAGGCTCCGAAACTAATATCGGACATAAAGTGCCCGTTTGGACATGAAATTTGATGGAAGATTTTCTCAAAAAAGTTTCACTTTTTTTCGAAATCAGCGTTTGTTCATAAAATTTTCAATTTCACTTGAAGATGCATTTTAGAAATTTTTGAAAATTTAAAAACTGCAAAAAGCTGTTTTTCAAAATTTTCACTCACAAAACTTCAAAAACAATCCAAACTGAAATTTATGTTCAAACACAACTCTAAATTTCAAATACCATTTACACTTAAAGAAATTTCGCAATTTTTTCGAATTTTACAATTCTTATGTCCAAACGCCTACAAAGTGTCCTTCCTAATTGGTAGAATTAATTTTAATCTTTTTTTTTTTCGTTTCTTTACCGACATGTGAATCCAACTACCTGAATTAGTCACAGGATTGAGGAAGCTGCTCTTGGATTTCGACAAAAGCTGTCTTCTTCCCTTCCACCGACACTTGCTATTTACATTTATAAATAAATAATCTCTTCCTATATTATGCAATATAATTTTTTTTTTTTGCCAATAAAATATTTTATTTTATATTAATATAGTACTTCTAGTCGTTTGGACGTCAAAGTGAGAGCTTGCGTAACACCAAACCCCTTCACCTATTTTTATTAGTTCTTTTATTTCACAACTTTTTTTCCTAACCCCTACGCACCAAGCTTCTCTTTTCTTTTAATATATACTTTGTGTCCATAATATTTGTCTATAAGATTTTTTTGCATTTTTTAAATATATATATAAGAGTCTTACTTTATAAAAGTATTTGTTTGAAAATTTTCTTATCTCTCTTAAATGTTCCATACCTAAATAATTTAATAGTTAGAGCAGTAAGGAGTTTTTCTTTTTCTTTTCTTTTTTTAAAAAAAAAAATATGCTTCTTATTTTCTCATAGCAGTCAACTATATAAAAAAACAAATTCAGTTATTTAAAACGGCTAATATTTAAAACCGGAGGAAATTATAACATAAGCATAGTGGAAAAAGTCACAAACCTTATGAGGAGAGTACATAGACTTTAAATATAATCCTTATGAGGAGAGTACATAGACTTTAAACTTCAAATATAATCAGAAGTTGCTTCACACGTCAAGACAAGAGACTTCAATTTCGACTAAGCCAAAAAAAAAAAAAAAATAGACAACAAAACAACGTTCATAATATAATTATTTAGAAAGAAAGTAGGTGAGTGAACAGATTCATAAGATAAATATACCGATAAGTTGAAACTACATATAATGTGTTTCTGTTGCCAAACTTATATAATTATAGCTTGTTACGTAGTTCTTTTCAATTATAACAATTTTGAAAAAGATGTACTTAACAAAACTTTATATTACAGTAACTTTTGAGATTCACTCGTAAGAATTGGCTGAGTTGGTTGAGTGAGTGGTTTCCACATAGGAGACCTGAATCAATTTCCCTTATCAGCAGCCTCCTCAGCTAGAGCTCGTTACACCAGGCTTGCCTAGTTGCGATTGACATTTTTTGTGTAATTTGCGTGTTTTCCTGGGAATTTTTCAAAAAAAAAAAAAAATCTTTGAGACTCTTATTTTTATCTTTTTTAAAACCAACTTTAGCTTTACTTTTGAACTCATTTGTATTGGAATTAAACAAATAAACTACGCCTTTATCTTAATAATAATGGTGCACAAATGACGATTTCAAAATTGCGACATAACAGTACTAATAACATATAATTTAGGGTCCATTAACCAGTAAACCGACCTGTGTTTACTATAACCTCGTGCTTTGCAAAAGCTTAAACTCTCATGAAACGAACGCAAATTTCCCTAAGCATTATATACATTTAGCATGCCCATTAGAAAGTTCAAGCTATCTTCTTGAAAAAGACGACGCAATAAATTAATAAATAAATAAATAATAAAAGAGAGGTGTTTTAAACTTTCCCCAACGGTAATCTACTAAACTTTTGGATTGAGACGTACTATTACGAGTTCAGTATATATACGACTATTATTTTGTGAAATTATAATTTGACTTTCAAATCATTCTTACGGCGTGCTGGCTTTTGAGAGATTAAGTTGAGATAGAGAATAACATTTACTATCTTGCAACTATATATCGGTTGTTTACCTATCTTAGATCACGGGTTCTTTACTAATATAATATCAAGAAAGTTGTAATCCCATTAATTTTCAAGTAGATAAAAAAGTTAAATAAATATAATAAGTAAAATTGTAGGGTTTCTTCTCGAAAATACTTAGTTTATTCCTGTTTTGATTCCCATGATATTCAACTGCATGTATATGCATATTTGATCTATTGCTATAAAAGGAACATGACCTGAATAACATAATGTATTTACAAAAAGCCATGGTGACAAAAGAGGCGGCAGCCCGGTGCACAAATGCATCCCGCGTTCACGCAGGGTCCGCAGGAGGACTGCACCCAAGGGGTGTGATGTAGATAGCCTACCCTAATTTAGTGACTGCTTCCACGACTCGAATCCGTGACTTATAGGTCACATGGAGACAACTTTACCGTTGCTACAAGGCTCCGCTTCTGCATTCCTCATTGACATCGGCATCTCATGAGCCTGGCCGACCCAAAGGGCACAACTAAGTCCAAGACGAGCACGACCGTCATAACATGGGGACAAAAAGGTAATTGAATCGAGAGACTGAAACACAAAATACAAAAAATACAAAACTAATAGCCAACAACAATAACAACTACATCTTAGTACTAAACAAGTTGGGGTCGGCTATAAACAAGTTGGGGTCGGCTATATGAGCATATCCTCCAAAATCTTTCTATACATCTTCCCCGGTGAATATTCACATTTGACACATCTTGGAAGTAATCTTACCTGCTAGAGATTCTGAAGAAACATTGGAAACAATTATTCCAACAAAATAGGTGTTAAAAAAAGGTTATTCAAAACAAGAAAAAACACTATGAAGTTGGAAATATTACCTGTTAGATAACAGTACAGTATGCATTGCCAACTTTTCCACACAAAAATTGTCTACTTTCACCAGGTAGAACTGACTTCTCACTCCCCTAGGATCGTCAATCTAGGGGAAGCTATACTACTATGTAGAACAACTTCAAATGTAGTGCTAAAGCATGTGAAAAAGCTCAAAGAGCTTGTTTACCATCCCAAGTGGTGCCCCGATTCGGTCTGCCGGTCGGGAAGAGATTCACATAGAGACTACTGCTATGGGGAATCTCTTTCTATGTTAGCTAGCGGAGGCGAGCTTTCCTATGGTAGTCCCTCTACAGCCTCTGAACGACCGTCCCATCTCATCTTGATTTGGCTATACTTGTATGTTCCACTTTGACAATTTTAAGAAAATGAACCTTGGGCCGAACTTAACCTCAAAAGCTATAAGGTGATCATTGTCCAACACCATTGAAGGAGACAACAGTCAATTTCCTCAACCAATATGGGACAATCTAACATAATTAATGCTACATCATCGATCTTCAATCTTAGGAAAGCTTTGCTATGATATGCAACTATTTGCAAGTTCCACTATAGTGCTGAAACAAGAGAAAAGGCTCAGGGAGTTTGCTTCAGTCCATTGAAAGCTTTGTGATGTCCGCAGACATATCCACAATGTATGTTTGCAGGAGCATATGGTGATTGATGTATGACAACATTTATTCTTTTTGATAGCTGAGAAATCTGCTGTCTCCATTTCCGAAACTTGGTGGATAACGGGCCCGCCCTTATATCCTTCTCAGCTTAAATACCAGACTTGGATCCCCAGAAGGACTCGAACTCGTGATATACGCCTACCACACATCTCCCGGTTGGTACTACCTATACCGTTGAACCAAAAACCAGGGGCTCATATATGACTATATCAATTCGCACTATACACTGAATGCTCAAAGTTTCAAGTTTTCTTATTTGAAGCACGTGTCTTCTGCTTCTCCCTAGCTTCCTTCTCTGCTTTCTTTCTCTCAAATTCCAGCTGCTTGCGATTTTCCTCTCGTGCTTGATTGAACATTCTTTGAAAGCTCATAAACGTTGCGACAACTATGGGGAAAAAGATATAATAGAGGTAAGCTGAAGATCATCTCATTCAAAAGGAGACTTGTTTTACTAACCACAACTTAAAGGATATCAATATGCCCAGATACAGCCATATGGAATTCCCAGCAGAAGTAGATAATTGCTTGATACCTTGTTCAAATGGATAGCGAGCTGGATCTTCTCCAAAGTAAACAATCATCGAGTCCACATTTCTGCCCTGTCACATGCAATAACCACATGAGGAATATTTCAACATGGTCGAATTACAATAAGACCATGAAAACCTGTATCATAAAAGGTCAGACATACCACATCCGAAAAAAGCTGAGCTAAGGACCCGACTTCGCCTTCAGCAGAGCCCAGAAACTCCTTCAGAGCCTGGCAAGTGGAAGTTACACCAATTAATTATAACACCAACGTTCTGTTATTTTATTTTTTTCATTAGTTATCCCACCATAACAAGTGTAGCTAACCAGAAAAGATGAAATAAACCGGTAGATTACCTTGCAGAAATTCTCAGACACAGGTCCATCACTTTCTGACATGGACAGTTCGTGTTTAACTTTCTCCATTCCTTTGCTAACAGCTTGCATTTCCTCTGCCAGATATTTCAGTTGTATCTGAACAAAACATGTATTAATTCAGCAAGTTCAATCCATATCTCTATTAATTAACAATATCAACAGTCAGTTCAAGTAAAGGTACCTTCAATGCAGGTTCCAAGCTGGAAAGATCTATAGAAAAATCAAGTAGCTCAGGCGATTTGTCAGCAAGTATCTGGCAGAAAAAATTTCATAAAGCTTTTTATAAAAGATGATTATCACCAGCACAAGGAAAAGTTAATACAAATACATTTTGCCTAGATAGGTAGATAAGACCTTAAATTATCATACTGCACAGTGACCTTAGAGCAAATCTTTGTCGTCAAGATGGATTGTGCTTGCTAAAATCAAGTGTTAAGAGGCGAAATGACATCAATAAGATGAAAATTCTGAAAGTATAAAACACACCATGTATTTTAAGTTGACATTATATTGATTGGATTTGGATGTGATATACTTTGCAATACAAGGTACATGAAGTCTAACCAAAAAAGTCTCCCAATGAAAAGAAAAAAGTTATTATGTGAAGGCAGATCCAGTATCTAACCACGTAAATGAATATCTTAGTATCACCGAAAGCCATGACTATCGAACGGTTAAAATTGATATATGCACACTGATAAATAGTAATAGTTCATTTCAGCATACAACAGCGCTTTCACTTTTAAGTTTCTCCACAAGTCTGACAGCAAACTTAACGAATTAGAGAGCGTTAATGGAAGACAAGATTGATTCATTGGATCGGCCAACAAATTTGGGGGAAACTAATTAAACTGACTCTTTTCTAGAGCATAGGCAGCACATCTGCACAATACAGAAAAAACCAGGCACAGAGTTTATCGACTGCATTATTCTGCTCTTGTGAAGCTATTTATAAAGTGCAGATCTTACCTTACAAAGATAATGCATGAGAGTCATCTTAGTATTCGACGAACGTGTCTCAGTTAGCTTAAGGAGGCTATCCAACTTGAAACCAGCAGCAGACCCTATACCAGTAGCATCAAGACAAGCATGATCAGAAAAGAGAATAATAATTGCTCCAAGAATAAACCAAATAGTTAATAGCAAATAGCAGCATGTATCATGTTCATGAAGCAAAGGATGCTACGAAGAATTAAGACCAGAAATGCACATAGCCATGAGAATAGCTGAGAAATCAATAATATTTAGTCCTCTTGATTTCATTCTAAAACTTTATAAGATAGAAACCTTAAGTTAATGAGGAACAAATTGGATTATTAAACAGTGGATTCTCTCAATTCCATTGCCCCGCTCTAAAACAAACAATTCCTGGTTTCTGAAAAAGAAACTCTTCAACCTACTCCCCCAACCAAAAACAAGAAAGCAATACGACGTGGTAAGAAGAATTTGGTGAACAGAATATGCTAGTGTGAAAAAAAATGTTAACCAACCTCTTGCAGTTCCCTGGTTGAGAGCATTTCCCAAAAACAGAATTGTCTGCAGAATCCCTTTCAATTTCGATGAACCTCTGATCTGATTAGGACATTAAAACGACACGGAGTGAACATGGAATATCAAGAAAGCGTTCGATAGTAATAAAAGATTAATCAATAAGGAAGAAATAAAACAGAAAAAAGTATATTTGCCTGATCAGCTGCTGAATTCACAATATTGAGAGTGTTCCTTAGGTCCGAAATCTGAAGATATTGAAAACGGAATATGCACCTTTAGCAAGATAAAACCTCACATTTCTAAAATCAGGCAGCAGACACACTATCCTCTCACCTGGGACTGAAACTGAATCTTAAATGAGAAAACCCGTAGCTTGGACTCTACTCGAGGGACTTGTATCAATTCTAACATAAACTGCTACAGAGAATAGTCATAGGAATTTTATATCAAATATACAAGAAAGTCCCTGAGAGAGAAACTGATATAGTAAACCAAGATAAGGTTAGTTCATAATGTGCTGACCTGTTCACATCTACCCAGCATCTCCTTATCTCCTTTATAACCCTGTAACAGAAATATTGGATTAATAAGTTTGTCTACAATATTCTAATATGCATTGAGTAATATTTTATTAAACTTATTTTGTGGGTACATTTATTACCTTGAGCACCTCCATTTCTTCCTTTGTTGGGCAAAACTTAATCAGGTTCTCAACCTGATCAATATCTAATGCTGAATCTTCCAATGCTAGCACAGAACTCTGCCGAAAATATCAAAATGGAATCAGCCAATGTTGGAGACATCATTCAATTTTCAATAGATTACATAGTTATGAATACTTTCATGGACCAATACTATTTTTGCAACTGGTACAGGTAGACATTGGAAAAGAAATGCCATGCGTTAGATAGGTAAACATAACAAGTTATCAAGCCAATACAGTTAACTTGTACCACGTTCAAGTCAATAGTATGTTATCATTTAAATATGAAGACTGTAATAAAAGCTCATACGGAAAATGTAACAGCCCAGCCCGCTAGTGATATTGTCCGCTCTAGGCCTAGGCCCTCACGGGTTTAAAACGCGTCACTAGGGTGTAAGGCTTGTTAACTTATATACCCAGCATCTCTCTTGTGTTTTTGCCGATGTGGGACTCTGTCTAAAGTCTGGGGTGTTACATACACCCCCTCTTATGGACTCAGCGTCCTCGCTGACATTTGCCCCACCGCACGGGATTCGCCTAGACTCAGCACTGAGGTTTGCCCCGCCTAACCGGGATTTGCCTAAACTCAATTGAACTCTGACCCGCCATCGGCAAGGCTGACACAAGAGTGGATTTTCTGTAACAGCCCAGCCCGCTAGTGATATTGTCCGCTCCCAGAGCGGACAATATCACTAGCGGGCTGGGCTGTTACTAGCGGGCTGGGCTGTTACAGAAAATCCACTGGGTGGCCATGAACTCTCCAATAAAGTCAACTATCTGATAAATACTTCTAGTTGTAAAGGTTACTTCAGCATATTGAAGAACAAAGCACAAAGGATGGGAAGTTATCTAGGTTAACAGTCTAGGAACTATGAGAGAAGAAGATATCATTACTAATACGGAGCACCAAAACAGAAACTTCCAGCTATAAAAGCAATGAAAAAGCAGGCTGCAAGTTGCTTGAGGCCTTAAAATGGTAAAAGAATTATGGCGATAACATCACCAACCTTATTGCAGGCATGGAAAGGAAATAACGGTTACTCAAGCAAACATGGCACATACGAACATGAACATATGATTCATCCAACTTTATTCAGAAAATAAATACACCGACTAAGTTATGCCAAAATGTAAGTCCAATATATGCAAATGAATTTTGCTTACCAGCATGTCGTGCAGCGGTATCTTCACCTTGGAAAGCATGATTTCACAATTATAAGCCCGTCTATGATCAATCTGCCATAAAAGTATTTAGATAAATAATCTCTCTTAAAACTTGGAAGTAGAACAGCCAGTAGATTCCAGCAGTATTATGCAAGTATCAGGTAAGAGGTATTTATGAAATGTTACAAATTTAGATAACAGAAAAGTCACCAGCTGCACTTTCTGAGGCTTCTGCCCAATTTTGGACCTTGAATTCCCATTCCTTCCTGAACCTGCTTGGTCTAAACTTTGAACTGAGAAGAAATATTCAAGTTCTGACATATTAATCACCGATGACCTATAAAACAGAAACACATCAAAAGTAAATGAGACATTGTATTCTGAAAAAGGAGTTGACCACATGACTGCATTAACAATATGTCCAGAACATACTTGGAGGCATAGCTACATTTTTCAATTTCGGCCCAAAAGCTTCCTCGGACTGTTTTACTTATTTTTAACCAATGCAAAGGCTTCAGCTTTTTTGAATTGCTTCTTGAAGTCATAGTACTAGACAACAGCCGTCGGTAACTTTTATTAGGTGGAGGAGCAACAGGAGGGGGTGGAGATGGAGAAGCAGGCAGATTGTTCCCTGCACTACCACTTGATGCTGACCGTGTGTGACCAGAACTTACTTCTACATGCACCTTAGGAAAAAGAACCGGAGGAGGAGGAGGAACAGGAGCAGTCTGTGGAAGATTGTTATTATCCTTGAGTGATGAATCCAGGGAAGGAGGTGGCGGCGGCGGCAATGGCACTGCATATGAATTTGTAGGACTAGAATCATGTGCAGTAGGCAAAGGAGGTGGTGGAGGTGGAAAGGGTCCACCAGTTAAAGAAGAATTCTCCTTCACAGACTGCCCAGGAAGCGGTGGAGGTGGAGGAGGTAGCATTCCACCTTTGGACACTAATCTTTCCTTCTGGGGCGGGGTAGGTGGAGGTGGAGGTTGAGGTTGTCCACTTATTGAGGAGAAATTCTCATTCAACACAGGGGTTGTATGTAAAGGAGGAGGAGGAGGAGGAGGAGGAGGAGGCGCTGGCGGTGGTGGTGGTGATGGCTCTCCAATGGAAGTTGAATTTTTTTTCAAAGGTGGTGTAAGAGGTGCTGGAGTTTGAGGAGGTCCACTAACAGAAGCAGAATTCTCCTCCAATACAGAGGTTGAATGTGGTAGAGGTGGTGGCGACGGCAACGGCCCACACTCTCTACCCAACTTTTCTTCTAGAGGTTTGACATTGGGTATGGAGGCTGATGGAGAAGAAAAACTTGGGATAAGCATTTGGGGATAAGGAGAACTTTCAGACGGGCAAGTACGCAGAGAAGGTTCCATTTTGGAAATTTTGTCATTCTCACATGGACTTGAAAGTATCTCAAGAGGAAGCCGAGATGTGTCAGGTTGAGATACTGTAGTTCTATCATCTTTCAAATATACAGTATTAGGACTTTGGTTTCTGGGCGTAGTAGGCTGTGATGGAGAAGGTACAGTTCCAATGACTAATTTATCCTTTGGAGGAGTGAGTAGTGTTGGTGGCATTGGAGAAGGAGATAGAGGCTTTCCAGTGACAATATCTTGATCCTTTGCTGGTGAAGGTGGAGGGGGTGAAGTGAGAACATCCGTCATGAGTGGTCGGTTCTTGTTTTCAGGTAGAGAAGAAACTTTTTTCAGCTTACCACATTCTTGTCCATGAAATGAAGGATGTTCCACTGTTGTGACATCATGAGGTGACACTGGTGATGCTGTACCAGAAGCATTAGATTATACACTAAAACCAATAGAAGTAAGCATTGGAAAAGATTTTGATGGCTGCAACTTTGATATTTTCATCTTAGTTTTTTCTTTCAACAATTAGAAATTAAGCATTAGTTTATAAACTAGAGTCAATAGGAGAAGATTTTGAAAAAGCGATTGATGGTTGCAAGTCTGACATTTTCATCTCACCTTTGGTTTCAACAAGCTGAAGCTCAGCTTTTTGTTTGTTGCCATGGTATTCTTCAGACGACGGATCAGAGAATGACCCAACATGCTGCTCCAAAGTAGACTGTCTCAAGCCCTTAGAAATATTTTCTAATGCTGCAGCTCTTTGCCTCTCCTGAGGCTTCTCTAAAGCAGCTTGATCAATGAGCAAGCTAGTGTCCGTATTCTCGGACGAAGATTCCAATCTTTCCGCGATCAAATTTGACGCAGCTATTTGTTGAAGCGTATTGCCAACAGCATCACCCTTTTGATTCAGCCAATCTGCACTGTCCTCCACAGGATCTATGGAAGCAACAGCATCCATCTCTGAAAAAAGAACCTTCATCCCGTGCATAGTCATAAATTATAATATGCTTCTTGATAGAGCGAACATAAAATAACAGAAAAGTACATCTAAGGGGAACAATGATACCTCTGCTCTGAAGTCTTTTGAAAATTGATCCTTAGCATCCCACAATGTGTCAATTTGATCTCTTTTAAGTATCAGAATGTTTGACTTAATAAAAGATGTGTTAAACATCGTCCGAAACATCATCTTTTCCCGGTCATCGTTCAAGCTAATACATTCCAAGACTACATCACCTTGTATATGGCAATTGATATCAATCTTAACTAATTCACATTCTACCTGCAACAACATAAATAAATGCTTGTATGATCCAAAGAACTTGACAAAGATACCATCTTTCTATGATAGCAAAAATCCCGAACTTGCAAAGAATATTTGAGATTTCTGAAGGAAAAAAATATCTTACCTGCTTGTAGTGATGGACAACATTATTTTTCTTTGGTGTTGAGAACAAGATTTTCGGAGATCGATTAGCAACTATTAATGGATCCTGTCCATAAATACGAAGTATGGGCCGGCAATCACCCTCACCATCAAAGTTAGGTATTTTCCTAATAATGACGCAATCCAAAGTGAGTGCTCTATCCAATGGAGGCCATTGCGTGTTTATGTTTCTCTTTGCTACATACTGTAAATATCTTAGCTGAGAAGGAATTGGATTCAGTGGTTGCAACAAGTACAAAAGCTCGCGAGGAGCCTGCTTATAAATCATGTCTAAGGTCTTCTGTTCCCCGGTGAAATGTTGTCTATATATCAATAATGCAGCCAACATAAATGCCAAAACTGGCCAACCACCCCATTCACAGTGCATTAGGAGCACATTTTGTTGCCCAAGGGAGAGCCAACTTTCACTGGATCTAAGAAAATGGTTTATCATCTCCATAGTGAGCAAAGGGCATCCTTCATAGTGTCGAGGATAGTCCATTATGGTCACGTCATGCTCTGATAGATCTTTCGCGATCAGGCTTTGAGACTCGCCCTCCAAAAAATTGAAAGCCAAAATTGACACATCAGGGTAATGATTCTGGAGTTGGCTAATTATACCTGCTACATAGCCTTTGTAGTTTTTTTCTTCCCAAACATCAGTAGTGAAACACCTATCAAATACTGCAAATAACAACAGATGCAATTATTAGCTAAACTACTATGCTGCAGGCAAACATTCTATAGTCCTCTACCATTTCATTTCACGAAAGAGAGATGACATGACTCTGCAAACAGCCTTCCCACATAAGGCCAACTTCTAACAAACTAACAAACATCTTGTGTGCCACTTACAACCTCTCTTGATGTGATCATTTCTGATTGTGTTTAATCTCGTATTCAAGCATAGCATCCAAATTTCTACTACATTCACCTTGTAAGAATGTTAGACCTTACATCTCACTCCATATAATATTGCTTGTCTCAACCTTCCACTAGGTTTATTCGCAAACTGTTCCAGACTAGTAAGGTCTATTAGGAAAAGAGGAGTAAGCTATTTAAAATGTTATAACCTACTAAATTCCAAACCTTGTTTTTTCCCCTAAAGAATGTTTTACCACTTATACAACATATAACTAATAAGCTTTTTAATCGAGGTAAAAGGTCAATTTTCGAATGTGGAGCTTTCGAAAATTCACCAATTTTCTTTCATATACTACAAGTTCTTCCATGTGTCAGGTTCAAATTCTAGCAGAGGCAAAAACACTAGGTAATTTCATTCATCTGCCTAAGCCTTGTGGGCAGAATCCTGATACTTGTACCGGAGGCAGCAGGTACCCAGTAGAATAGTCGAGGTGCGTGCAAGCTTGCCCAGATACCAATGATTAAAAGCAAAAATAAAAATAAAAAGAGAAAAATGTGAAGTTGAACCAAATGAGTTCCCTCATATCCTACTATTTGAGCCCAAAAAAAAGGACCTAGAAGATGATCACTTCTACACTTTCCATTTCAACAATCAAATTAGATATTTAAGTTAAAACATGAACAAATAAATCAAATTTAGCAATTATTGATCTAGCTCAATCTCAACTAGAAAACAGTTCAATTGAGTTTTCTACCGAGTTCATTGAGCAAAAATTCCCGTTTCCTCATCAGAATTAGACATTTAAGTTAAACTACGAGCAAATAAAGCAAAATTAGCAATCATTTATCTCCACACAACAAATCAAAGAATGATCAAATAAATCAAATTTAACAACTATTTATCTGGCTTGATCTTAATAAGCAAACAGTTAATTGAGTTTTCTACAGAGTTCAATTGATCAACAAGTCAACTCAGAGAGAAAACCAAAGGGAAACGAACCGTAAACTCTGTCGCAAATCTCCAGCAGTCCATCAGGTGGCTTCCGATAGAACAATTTCCGAAACAATGCCATATATTAATTTTTTTTGAAGAACTGAGCTTTTTAATTCCTTTCAATTAATAAAACTTTATGTTATATACTTTAATTTAGATGGTTTATATAATTTCTGTCAAGTTTCTCTGTGCATGTGAACAGAAAATTTATTTAGTTGACGAGGAGAAAAACGTATTCATGACGGATTTTTTTATTTTATTTTATCGTAGTAATGTTTTTCTTTGTACACAAGAAAAGTAGTAGTTTACAATACAAGCTGAGGGTCACCTACTGTTAGCCACTTTAACTGTATAGAGAAAGGAGTCAATTTTTTTTTTTAATTTTTTTTTTTGGGTTTTAACAGGTGTGATTCAAAATTTATTGGTCCGATTAATCTAGTTTCGCTTTGTTAGAAAAAAAAAAGTCACCTTTTGTTCGTGTTCTCTAACGGTGTTTCAACTTCACGGTAATTCTAAACTGTACTTAATAGTTGATGAGTAAATTTGGATCTTGTATTTTTCTCGAAATTTGGATATGTGCCGTCGCCATATTTTGTTGGACTTTAAGCCATTGGGCTTTAAAGTAGAAGAAGTGTGAATTGGAAATGGAGGAAAATAAAATGGAGGGAAATTGAAAATTTGAAGAAGTGAACTTTTGTCTTGCACTTTGTCCCTCATTGGTGAGGGACAACCAAATTTGTGTGCTTATATATAGAATCACATCTTAAAGCTCATAAAAGGAGTTGAAGAGAATGAACCCTCGCGCCGTCGTCGCTCGGCTCGGCTTCGGCTTCGGATTTGGCAAACGATCGATCCTCGCGCCGTCGTCGTCGCTCGGCTTCGGCTTCGGATTCGGATTCGGATCTGCTGAAGGTTCAGAAGGCTCCTCTGACCGCGGTTCTGCCGCGACCGCGGTAGAACCGCGGCAGGCAGCGTATTCTTCTGAAAAGGCACATTTTCCAGACACCTTGTGATTTTGTTCCGTTCTTTAAGTTTGTTGGTATCCTGCAGTTTGTATTGCCACTGTTGCAGGAAGATTTATTCCGTTTTATCCTGGGAGGATTTAATCCATTACCTTGGCAACGTGTGAGGGGGTTAAAATTCCTTAAGGACACACAAGCAAATTGTGGACTCGGAATATTTCTTAAACTCTACTATTTTTTCAGATTTCTTTAATTCTTCTAACAGTTTTGTTTTCCTGATTTTGTGTTTTAACACAGTAACGCTCACAAGCTTAAGGAATTTTAAATTAACGTATTTGTGTTGAAACATTTATTAAACTGTTATTCATATTTTGTATACTGATTTGGAGACTAAAGCCTTGTTGCTTTCTACTCCAATAATTCTTTTTGTCCGGTTCAAAGTACATAAAAACTTTGCCGGAATAATAAACGTACGGGTGTGAAGTATATAAAAGTTTCACCATTGTTACGTGTTGTATGTTTGGTTTGATATTCAGTTTGAAGATATCAAAACTTCACTGATTTAACAAAATTCTGTATTGTTTCCAACTTTACAGAAGTATGACGAATGAAAACCAAACTAATGGAAGTGTTGCGGGAACGGGTGCTACTGTTACGAGTGCTGCTGCCTCGTCAAGGCGTTCTACTCCTGCTCATGCTATGGCACCGGCAGAAAAATTCGGAAAGTTTTCCGGTATTGACTTCAAACGCTGGCAAATGAAGATGCTCTTTTATCTTACTACGTTGAGTTTGCAACGTTTCATCAAGGAGGATCCTCCGGTCATGGCTGAAAATACTCCGGATGATGAACGACTTGTTGTAACTGAAGCATGGAAACATTCTGATTTCCTGTGCAAAAATTACATCTTGAGTTGTTTGGAAGATGGCTTGTACAATATCTATAGTGTCATGGAAACTTCAAAAGCGTTACGGAATGCGCTTGAGAAGAAGTACAAGACTGAGGATGCCGGACTTAAGAAATTCGTGGCTGCAAGGTTCTTGGATTTCAAGATGATTGACACTAGGTCGGTCATAACTCAAGTCCAAGAACTACAAGTCATTGTACATGACCTCCTTGCTGAAGGTATGACCCAAATCAATAATTTTATTAATAAGACTTATCTTATTATTAATAATGAATTTGTTATTGAAGGTATGGTCATAAATGAGGCCTTTCAAGTCGCTGCTTTCATTGAGAAGTTACCTCCGCTGTGGAAGGATTTTAAGAACTATCTTAAACATAAACGGAAGAAAATGATACTAGAAGACTTGATTGTTCGTTTGAGGATAGAAGAGGACAACAAAAATGCTGAAAAGAAGTCACGTGGACACTCAACAATAATGGGGGCAAACATTGTTGAGGAGGCACCACAAAATAAGAAGAGGAAGAAAGCTTCTGGACCAAAGAATTACCCAAGCAAGAAGAAGTTCAAGGGTAATTGCCACAACTGTGGAAAAACTGGGCATAAGGCAGTGGATTGTCGTGCGCCAAAGAATGATAAGAAGAAAAAGAATCAAGCCAACATGGTTGAAGATGAAATGGAAGACTTGTGTGCCATGTTGTCTGAATGCAACTTGGTAGGAAATCCGAAAGAATGGTATGTATGTAGGAAAAGGTTACCTGAATGAGGGCCTTTTTAAGCTAAATGTAATAGCAGTTCCTATCAATAAAGTGAATGCTTCTTCTTACTTGCTTGAGTCAAACACTTTATGGCGCGTTTAGGTCACGTAAACTTCAAAACATTGCGAAAGATGATAAATCTAGAAGTATTGCCAAAATTTGATTGCATTAATTCCAAATGTCAAATATGTGTGGAATCAAAGTATGCTAAGCATCCTTATAAGTCTGTTGAAAGGAATTCAAGTCCTTTAGACTTAATTCACACAGATATTTGCGACATGAAGTCAACACCATCTCGCGGTGGGAAAAAGTATTTTATTACTTTTATTGACGATAGCACGAGATACTGCTATGTTTATTTACTTAATAGTAAAGATGAGGCAATTGATGCTTTCAAGCAATACAAGAGTGAAGTTGAAACGCAACTAAACAAAAAGATCAAAATAATAAGAAGTGATAGGGGTGGCGAATATGAATCTCCTTTTGAAGAAATATGTTTGGAAAATGGCATTATTCACCAAACAACTGCCCCTTACTCTCCACAATCTAATGGAATTGCGGAGAGGAAGAATCGAACGTTGAAGGAGATGATGAATGCATTGCTAATAAGTTCTGGCTTACCACAGAACTTGTGGGGGGAAGCTATACTTACAGCTAACCGAATAATCAACCGTGTACCTCATAGTAAAACACAATCCATTCCTTATGAGAAGTGGAAAGGAAGGAAGCCTAGCTTGAAATACTTCAAAGTGTGGGGGTGTTTAGCTAAGGTACAAGTTCCTAAACCTAAAAGGGTTAAGATAGGTCCAAAAACGGTTGATTGTGTGTTTATTGGATATGTAACCAATAGCAAGGCATATCGGTTTCTGGTTCATAAATCAGAAAATCCAGAGATTCACGTTAATACGATAATAGAATCAGATAATGCTGAATTCTTTGAAACTATTTATCCGTATAAAAAGGAAAGTGAACTGACCTACCAAAAGTCAAAACGACCTCGGGAGGAAATAATAGATGGTATGCCTAATGAAGAAAATCCGAGAAGAAGTAAACGTCAAAGGACATCTACTTCATTCGGTCCAGATTTTCTGACTTTTCTGTTAGAAAATGAGCCTCGTACCTTCAAGGAAGCAATGTCTTCCTCAGAGGCACAATATTGGAAAGAAGCTGTCAATAGTGAAATAGAATCCATATTGAGCAACCATACTTGGGAATTGGTTGATCTTCCTCCAGGTAACAAAACGTTGGGTTCTAAATGGATTTTCAAGAAGAAAATGAAAGACGATGGTACTATTGACAAATACAAGGCAAGACTTGTTGTCAAAGGATTTAGACAGCGAGAAGGTATTGACTATTTTGACACATACTCACCGGTAACAAGAATTACATCCATTCGGATGCTAATAGCGTTAGCCGCCTTGTATGATCTTCAAATCCATCAAATGGATGTAAAAACAGCCTTCTTAAATGGTGATTTAGAGGAAGAAATCTACCTGGACCAACCTGAAGGGTTTGTGGTTCCGGAAAAAGAAAAGAAGGTGTGTCGACTTGTTAAGTCTCTTTATGGACTAAAACAAGCACCCAAGCAATGGCATGCGAAATTTGACCAAACAATATTGTCAAATGGCTTTAAGATTAATGAATGTGATAAATGTGTTTACATTAAGAACGTTCCAAATCATATAGTCATTGTTTGCTTATATGTTGATGATATGCTAATAATGAGCAAAGACATTGCCGACATTCAAGCTACTAAGCGCATGCTTGCTAGTAAGTTTGATATGAAAGACTTAGGAGTTGCCGATGTAATTCTAGGAATTAAAATCAAGAGGACTCCTCAGGGTCTAGCTTTGTCTCAATCACATTACGTGAAAATGGTACTTGAAAAATTCAAACATTTGGAATTTAGAAGTGCAAGAACTCCAATTGACTTAAATCATCATCTTATAAAGAATAAAGGTGAAAGTACGTCTCAATTGGAGTATGCTCGTGTGTTGGGAAGCTTAATGTACATCATGAACTGTACACGGCCTGATATAGCTTGTGCGATAAGTAAACTTAGTCGATTCACAAGTAATCCCAACAAACATCACTAGGTAGCAATGAAACGAGTTCTGGGATATTTGGAATATACCCAAGACTACGCTTTGCACTACAATAAATATCCTGCGGTTATCGAAGGATATAGTGATGCAAATTGGATAACCGGCTCAACAGAAACAAGTCCACAAGTGGATATGTTTTTACTGTTGGTGGAGGAGCAGTATCTTGGAAGTCTTCCAAACAAACGTGCATTGCTCGCTCTACAATGGAATCAGAGTTTATAGCTTTGGATAAAGCCGGTGAAGAAGCTGAATGGCTTCGAAATTTCTTAGAAGACATTCCGTTCTGGCCAAAACCTTTGGCTCCTATTTGCATACATTGCGATAGTGAGGCTGCAATAGGACGGGCAGGGAGCGTTATGTATAACGGAAAGTCTCGTCATATACGACGAAGACATAACACTGTTAGACAACTACTTTCTAGTGGAATAATCACTATTGATTATGTAAGATCAAAGGATAATGTGGCGGATCCGCTTACAAAAGGCTTAACTAGAGAGGGAGTTGAGAAATC